TAGGAAATAAAACATCTTTATAGAAGAATCCCTTCAGAAACATGCAGCAACAAGCCAAAGATCAGCAGCAAACCTGTTCCTGCCTGCTTCCAACCTGACAGATGGCTGGTGCTACTACTGGGCTGGGGGTGGGGGAAGAGATTAACAGCTTTTCTTTAATTTCTGCCAACTGTTCTCCATTCCATCCCAGTCTGTCCCTGTCCCTACTATTACAAACATCTTTCAGGCTGCCCCAGAATTGACTCCTGTGACCCACAGGTTGCATGCAATCATAGGCATGGGGCATAAAATCACTCATTCAGACTTAGTTCAGCAAACATCTTAGAACCTGATATTAAATTCTCTGCTGAATCCTTGAACTTGGATGACTCTGAAGATCCATTCCAGCTCAATTTTCTGTAATTTGGAGACTCTCTCCATCACATTATAGGCCTAGGAATCTATCCTGAATTGACACAGGTTCTGCCATTCCCGGAAAATCATCCCATCTTCATAAAATAATCCCTCAAGATGAGCATCCCTAATGGTGTCTGGACACTTATTCACTTCCTGCAGAGTCATGGTGTCCTTTTCTGTGGTGGCATGAGCACTGAGCCCTGCCACACTACCGTACCTGCTTGGGCTGTAACAAAGGTTGCTCCTGGCTCCTGTGTTCCAGTGAGTGGGACTTCATTTTTGCTTGCTGCAGTAAAGAAGCAGAACAAAAGATAAGCGGAGGAATTAGCAGCAAAATTTAAAATGGCTGACTGCTGGCTTTGGAGAGGCCATGGGGAGCACAGTGCCCTCCTCTCTTAAAGCCTCCTCTAGGCACTAGGAAATTCAGAGGGTGGGAAAGCATAGAAAACACTTGCTTTCTATATACTGAGTCATCACCCTAGAGTTATGCAAAGACTTGTCACAATTACATTCACCTTCAGTGCTTAAGTCCTTTGCTAGAATAAAGCATACTTCAAGAACCAAACTCCAAAATTAATTATTTTGCCTTGCTGTAACTCCTCGGTCCTACCAGTATCTAAAAAAGGGCCCAAAACAGTGGGAGGCAAACCATATTTTTAAATTATGTAAACATTTTTCAGCTTTGGGAAAATAAAGCGGGTAGATTCTGTTTTCCCTCAAACTCTTCCAGATCCCAGCTAGGACGCTACAGTAAAATACAGCAATAATGAACCAGTTTTAAAAGCAACATCAACAAAACTGATTATTAAAAAAAAAATAAAAAAAAAAAATAAAAAAAAAAAAAATCTTTGCCCATCCATTAGCACAGAGAGCTCAAATCCATAAAATGTGAGGTTCAAGGCTGCGCGGAACTGCAAAACTGCATGAACGCCAAAGATATTTAGAATTACACTATCCAGTCTAAAAATTCAGCTTAAGGACCTTCCAGCACTATATCCTTAAAGAATATCAACCCTCCTGCCTCGCAACATCTGGCAATAACCAGAGTTGTGAATAAAGCTGCCTCATGAGCTTGTCAGTTTTAACGGTCTGTTCTGCTGGCCCTGCTCTCTTGGTCCCATGTGTAAGGTACAGGGAGATCAACCACACTCTCTGGGAAAAGAGAGGGAGCAAAAGAAGTGCTGAGAATCAGGGCTGCTTGCTGACTTGCTCTGCAAGCCCCATGTCTGAAATCAGACATATTCCAGGCATAACATCCACTCGATCATTTTCATCACAAATGCAGCAGGATTCAGGCATGACGTACAACAGCAACACGAGACCCCACGCTAACCTGAAGTAATGCACCTTGACTGCCTGGCTTAAACCCTCTTATGAATATGATAAATGGTTGCTGAAGAGGGATGACATAAACCAGACAGGTGAAAGAGCAGCCAAAGAATTCATCCCTTGGTTGTACTTCAGGAAATCATTTTCTCTGCTCAGTTGTATGCTGATGGGCAGATGGGGAGGTCAAAGCCTGGCAAACAGGTATATGAGATATGGACACAGAGATGCTCTGCAGTGGGTGCTACTCTCTCACGGTTCCTTGAACAACATACAGTGTGTTTACATGCAGCGAAACTACCACTGAACCAACCACAGGCTCCTCTTCCTTTGTGTGCAATAAATGCGTTATGTTGGTGCATCTGTCTCTGTCTGTTAACACACCTGCTAGATTATCCAACATATCCCTACCTTGTTTGTCACAAGATGTGCTATCAAGAGATGCCTGCAGCTAACACAAAGGCACACATGCAGCTGTGCCCCTCTCCTCCCCCTGAGAGGCTTCCTGCCAACTGATTCTAGCTGACTCTGGTGCAGTGAAGTCTTACTGGAAGGTGTTTTTCTTCCTTTAAGGAGGAGAAAAAGTGAACTCATTTCTGAGCTAGTCCCCTTTCCCACTGCCTTGAATTCATGTAACATGAGTGAAAAATAGAGCAAATTGATTGTCACCACTAAACCAGTCTCCTTTAGCTCTGAGTAACATTAAATAGGGAATACCTCAAGACAGACATTCAAAGGGCAGGCTGAAATTCTTCAGCTCACTCTGTGGCAGCCAGGGAAGAAAACAAGGGACGTAAATTATGAGTGAACCTGGAGGTTTTCTGACCAGCATGGAACAAACCTACTGTTCTGTGTGTCAGGTCTTCGGAACACCTCCTGGTCATGGCACACAAGTCCTTCCAGTGCAGCCAGCATTTTTCCAGCTTGCTAAATCTTTTGGGACTCAGAGAAAGTATTTCCAGCTTTAACTGCTGACTCAGCCTTACCACAAACTATGCAGAACCTATTAAATACAGAAGGTGCATTTTTCATTCTAATAAGATAAAAACTATCTGTACTAATTCTACAGAGGTAAAATGACAAGCCAATTGCAGAGCTGAGCCATAGTGTCTCTTAAGTTTTCTAATGAGTGAGCGAAATTAAACGTCTAATTATTGGTCTAATTTACAAGGTATATAAAAATCTCTGGTGCCCACTGCAGCCAAAGGGAATTACAGAGGATTTTAAAAAGTAATTATAGATTAAAAGAAAATTAAATTGGGATACTTATGAGACACTTAATTTTGTCTGTAGAAGCCTAGCATAAGGCAGCTGTGATTACTTCTGTCTGTATCTTAATAGCTATTTCAGTCATTTAACACAGGTTTTTGCTTAATTAAAGCCACATAACTGAGAAGCTACCTGAATACAGTAGCTCTGTAGCACAGCCTTAAATATGACATAAATGCTTGTCATCTGGTCCTCCTTTTAAAAGTCCTATTCATGCTCCAACCCCTTTCTCCTTGGCTTAGGCTTGCTGCCTATTTTCTCCAAAGCAGGGCCTTCCTGGCACCCTACCTCTGCTGGCAGGGAACAGGGGTTCTCTCAGTCTTTAGGCTCTGGGTTCATTCCTCCTTTGCAGCAGAGGCAACAGAGAATGAGCACGTGGTTTTCTTTTGTTTCTAAACAACCACTACAAGCTGTTGTGCCCACAAGAAGTGCCAGGATCACAGCATGGTCTGCTCTTTACCCCCAAAGACACATTGCATCAATTTACAATTTCCTAAGCCACATCCACATTAAGCAAGACCATGGAAGCATTTATAAGAAAGCATACACGCATATAGCTTAATCTCTGTTTGTCAATAAATCATTTTAATTAGATTAAAGAATGCAAGACTGGTCCTACTGCCAAGTTTGGTCATATTTTCTCAAGATTATAAAAATAAATAAAACAAACCCCATAGAGTCTGCTTCTAAATCCAACTACTTTATGCAAGATCTTGTCTAGACAGATATTTCTACTGTTTTCTCACAGCAATGCAGTACTAATGCAGCAGTATAAGCTTATTAAGGTTATTTTCTTTAATATTACAGACAAAAGCTTAAATGTAGCTAGGCTGAAAGCAGCACCTCTTGTCATTTTGGTTTTCAAGCAACATGGACCAGGTATTTTTATTCCTTTATATATA